TAACTGTATATATCTATATAGATAGATAGATAATCAAAAATAATAATAAAACAAGAATAGGCACGTTTCTGGATCACTTAAAAGATACCCCTATTCTCGCCTCGTATGCACGGAGTCGTGCGGTCAATTGCCCGATAGCAGCATCCTTACGTCCAAGAAACGTGTGCGCGTTATGTAGTTTGGTGTTCACATCAGCCAGTTCCTCCTGCATCCGACGGATGTCATCCTCTTGTGCCGTAAGTCGTGAAGTGAGAAGCTTAACCGTGCCCTGCAGCTCGATATTGAGCTGCTCGCGGTATCGTGCGTCCTCCTGCAGCTTCTCCTTCGCCGCCTCCATCTGCGACAACATGTCCTCAAGCTGTAGGCGCTGCCGCTCCGCCTCGCGCTGAAATTGCGCCATGTCCTTCTGGCACTGCGCCTTTGCCGCCTGCGCACGACTGAGGTCGGCACGCATCGTGTACAGGACCTCGTCCATGCGTCGCATGTCCTCCTCGTGCAACTCCCTCGATTCCGCCAGCTCACCTTGCCATGATCCCGCCCGCGTCTCCGCATCGCGGTGGAGTTGGTTAACCTCCTCTCGCAGGCGGTGTAACTCCTCTTCCTTCGCCGCAGCCACCTCGCGTGCTTTTGCAAAATCGCCACGTATCTGATCCGCAGCGAGTCGCATTGCCGTTACCTCCGCCTGTTGTCGCTGAATTAACGATTGCAGCTCCACCTCATGGACCTTCGCAGCCCGCAGTGCCTCCTTCGACTGCTGCGCCGCCTCACTATTGGCCGCCTCAAGCGACGCCTCAAGTTCCTCCACACGCGATGCTGCCTTTGCAAGATCGTTACTCTTCCGCCGCAGTTCTTCTTCAAGTTCATGCTGGCGGGTCTGTGCCCGACGGAATACCGACTTTTGTTCCTCTGCTTCGTCACGTAACTGTTGCACCGTCGCCGTCGCCTCCTCAAGGGCGCGTCGCTCGTCCTCTAACTGCTTCTCGCAAGTTTGTTGACGCCCCTCTAACTCCGTGATGGCGCGCTGTAAACGCTGACATTCGGCCTCCACCTGCGTTTTCTGGGCCCGACTAAGCATGATTGCCTTCTCTAGCCTTCCCTCCCGCTCCAGCATCTCCCGCTCTCGGTCCTCAGCGGTCTGCTGCATTTCTTCCAGTAGCCGCTTGCCTTCCGCCCGTGTGCTCTGCAGCGACTGCACCTTTGCGGCCAGTTCGTCACGGAGCCTATTCTCCTCCATTTCATGCCGTGCAACCTCCTGCTGCAACGCCTCAACCTCCGCGGCACGCTCGCGAAGCTGCGAACGCAGCTGCTCCAAACTGTTCTGTCGCTCCTGACCCGCTGCCCGTTCTCGGGCGCGGTGCTCCACCTGCAGCGTCTCCAGCTCATTGGTCAAGCGGCTCACAGTACTTTGCAGACCATCCGCTCGAACCGCAACGAGTTCCCGCTCCGACTCGGCTTCCTTTCGCACTGCCGTCTCCTCTGCGAGTTGTCGTCGTAGGCTCTCAGCAGTGTTCTGCAGCTGGTTCACTTTTGCCCAGTGCTTCTCTTGCATCTCTTCCTGTTGCCGGGCTGCTTCCTCTGCCAAAGCCTCTTTCTCCTGTCGTACCTCCTCGACAGCCTGACGTAGTGACTGGATGAGTTTCTCTTCATTTTTTAAGAGTTTCTGTCGGTCTTTCTCGTGTTCTTCTTCCAGCTGTTCACGCTGATTCATCATTGCCTGCAGCTCCTCGCGAAGCTCTGAGACCTCTCGTTTGTATGTCTCCTTCAGGTTCTGCTGCTCTAACGTGTGTGTCTCCTCCTGACATCGCAGCCGCTCTGCAAGGCTGCGGACATGGTCTTCCAGCTCCTGACGCCGTTCCTGCAGTTTGCTGGACTCATCCTCCAGACGTCTCGAAAGCTCTTCGTTCTTCGCTACCAATTCATCCATCTTACGCGCGTGACGCTGGTTCGTCTCCTGTATCTTCTTTTCACATTCCATTTGCTCATTTGTTATCTTCTCTCCCAGCTGCAAAATTTTCTCTTCCAGCGTCCGTTTCGTTTCTTCGAGCTCTTGCCGCTCGCTGAGTATTCTCTCTTGTTCCTCACGCAACGATTGCTGTGTATTTCGAAGTGAGGTGATTTCCTTACCCTGGTCAGCGATGAGGGCTTCAGTTTGCTGTCGGTAGTCTGCCATGATCTGACTCTTTTCTTCCCTCTCACGATCCAGCAAGGCGAGAAGCTGCTGCTTCCTCTGCGATGCATCCTCTGCAAGCCTCGACTTCTCCTCCATCAAACCCTCTGACAGCCGCTTCAGAAGAGTGATCTGATCCATCAGTCGCTGCGTCTGGTCAGCATGCTCTTCCCTCAGCTCCCGCATGGACTCTTCGTGCCGCGCCTGGGCGTTGTGGTTTACCTCTTGTTCCCGTCCCAGCGCCACACGAAGAGCATCCACTTCCGCGCTTCGTCGCGCACACTCCTCACGCATCTCCGCCAACTCCCGCTCTGTGGTTATGAGCAACTCCCGCAGTTCCGCATGTCGCACCGGTGTGGTGTCTGTCGCTCCAGCATTCGCATGGTATCCAGTAAGCTCCACCGAATTTGGCATCGTGCGTGACTGTGCCTGGTGGTGAACCGCAAAGGAGGAATCGTGATGGTACGACCCGCATGATCTATCGACCCCGGAAAAGGGCTGTGTAGGTGGACGACTACCCATGTATGAGTCTCCCTTCTCCTCTGCCATTGTTCCGCCGTTATTTGTATGTGTCGACGAAAACGGCAGCGGCATTAGCGGTGGCGGTGGTAAAGTACGACTCCGCATAGTGTCATCCCCACCGAGAAGAGCGTAAGAACTTTCTGTAAAGGAGGAGGCATGAAGGCACGAGCTGTCTGCGGCTATTGCACTCGTGTTCACAGACATGACGCCTCTTCCCGCCTTCCTTCTCTTGCTACTCTATATACCACTCCACCTCGATTCGCCTGTCCTAGTTGTTTTTGATTCCTTGTGTCGTTACCGTGTGTCTCCTTGGAATGGGTGCACACGACTCCACAGGGACAGTAATTCCCCTCTTCCCGTGCATAAATGAGCACGTGGAAACAAATTACAATGGATTGAAGGATCACAGTGTGGAGGGCAAACCGCAAGAGAAAGAAAAGAGGGGAAAAATAATAAGAAGGATTCCATCAGAAAAAATAGCGGCGCACGCCAACTGACAGAGATTCAGGCAGAGACAAGCAAAATTCATCAGAGGTTAAACAAAAAAAAAAAACAAGGAAGAAACCGAGAAACTAGCAGACAAAAAAAGACATCAAAAACAGAAGTCAAAGTACCGAGTCTTTACACCCATTTCTTCGTAAACAGCCTCCTAATCTCACCACCTTAGTAGTTTCTTAAGCAAAGTGTGGCACATTTGTCGCTGCTTCACATCAGGCGCGAGATGCGCTAGACCCCATAAAGTCCATGTGTTCTGTGCATTAATAGCCAATGAACGCTGCAGAATGTCCACACCAGGCCCATACTGCCTACTCATGTCAACATCGTTGTGATGACGAGGATGCTGATGCTCCATGTAAAGAAGACCCAGCGAAGTGAGTGCCCAATCGTTCTGAGGGCACCGCTTCACTGCGTACTCCCACCACGCCTTCACATCCTTCTTATAAATCGCTTTTGTTTCATTTGACTCGGTCTCTGCATCCAAGCTGCATCTGTGGATCTCACCCATCCAGTATGCGGCACGAGACTCCCATTGCCCGTTTTCAAAGGCGAGAATCCCGTTGTCCCAATTACCCTTTTGGTCCCACCCGTTTCCTGGCAGTATTTCCGTTCCTCCAAGCACAGTTGCAAAGTAGCGGCGGGCATCTGCAAAGTCCACCGTGCATGCCGCTTCCACCCCTAACATCTTCACGCGGCCCATGCCGCACAACGCCCCCTTGTCACGGGGATCAAAGGAAAGCACCGCCTCAAAGAGAGCAGATGCCCTTCCCAAATGAGGTGCAACACCAGTTTCCTTTTTAACGGTATCATCTCTGTCAGCAGCAGTAACAGTAGAACTGCATTCCTGTGGTTCTTGCATTGTTCTCCTTTTCCATTGCCCCAACCAATGGCAGTCCCTTAGCCCAGATGGGGCTCCCTGAAGAGCAAGAAAGTCCACACCACTTCCTTCAAGCATACCACAATGGTATTGATACAGGTGCACCCAACCAAGACCAACGGCAGCAAAACGGTACAATGGATTGTCAACACGCCGTGTAGACTCCAAGGCACAAAGGTACGCTTCGGCAGCCTCAGTCAGGTTTCTACGCCACAAGTGGTGCCGCCCAGTTAGGCACAACGCAAGAGCATTGGCGTTATGGAGCCGCAGTGCCTCCATCAGAAGCTGAATCTGCCTCACATGCAGTTCCTCGGTCTTTTTCTCTTTTTTGCCTGTAATACTCCACCAAGTGAGCCACTGACTCTTCACACGGGGATGAGCATTCTCCCAGACCCACGGCGACCGGCCATGCAAAGCATCCTTGTCGTGCTCTTCCTTAATATCGGCCCCATTCCCAGGGTCTAGTGATCTCTGAAGCGTTTTAGTTCTTTCAATTATCCACCAGGAGACAAATACACTTGCAGTAAAAAGATTTGCTGCCTCTTCCCTGCTCTCTCCCTCACGCACCTCATCCCAATTAAAAGTAAGGCCGTGTCGAAGCGCGGCACCTTTTAAAGGAACAGTTTTGCGTACAGCTGATCGTTTTTGGCTTTCCTTCTCTTCAGTCTGGTACGGTTTCCCTTCCGCATGCGACGGCGAAACAGCAACACGCTTCATGGAAGCAAAAGGACGGTCCATAATGCTGTCAACATGAAGGTTTCGTTCCAGTAATTCGTAGCGGCGACGTCCTTCCATAAGGGAATGAAGAAACATCCCTCCATATGTGTCGGCACTCGGCAAATTGAAAGGTTTCACTGATCTGGCGTTTTGGGCAGAAAGAAATTGGCTCCAGCATAGACCGGCGTGTGCAAGCAACGCAAAAACCTGCAAAACTCTGCCTTTTCGCTCCATACTCATCTTTTTTGCCTTATCACCGCTCTCATCACCACTCCACCACCATCTAAAGGCGGCCTCTTGTGTTATGGAACGCATGCGAGGACTTGTTGTGTGCAACAGGTTACCTTCGTCCCGCTGCAGCACTTCGATATCATGGATAAGGCGCTGGAAAGCAGTTATAGCGCACCTGTACTTTCGTGTTATGCCAAGATGCATCCAGCCAGTAAGAAGTGAAGCCACCATGGAGAAAGAGGGTGGAAGCCATGCGGGGTTCTCTTGTAAACCCCATGAGGTCACCAAGTCACGCTGCCATCCGCAAGCCTCCGGCACACATTGTATGGCCAATACAAGAAGAAATCCAAACTCATCCATCATGGCGTCTGCGACGGCAAGCGTGATTGATTGTGAGAAGAATATCACTACTGGATAGCTGTCAGGGATGGCGTAAGTTTGACAAAGCTGTAGGTAAAACCATTCCCACTCCCGTCGCAATTCTGCCACACCACACTCAATGTCGTGCAACGTTCGACTCTCCAAGACAGAAAAATGGTCCACAACAGAGCGTTCGGCTTGACATATGAAAAAGGTCTCCAGCGTAGAAACAGCTCTTTCTGCCCAGTAGAGCACAAGACGCACAGGTGTCAATAGGCATGCATCATTTTCTTTTTCATTCAAAGACGTGGTGGCATAGTCAACTATGTCCTTTGCCAAAGCCAGAAGTTTGTTCAACTGCATGGGCATCATGTAGCCAAAAAGTGTCGTGGAATGCGTTCGGATCCGCCGCACCGAGTGGTTCAGCAAACCAAGAAGCATACGCATTTCAAGCGCTTCCTTACTCTCATGATTGGAAATAGAAACGCCTTTAAGAAACGGTTCCTCCACTATTGCAGCCTCTTTTTCAAGGGTTTTGCCGTCGTGCAGCATCTGTTCCCCCCGTGAGATAGTAACCGCGTTTTTTATTCCATTGGAAAAAAGCAATCCGGTCCGATGCATGCGCTTGATAAAACCAAACAAAATCGTGTAGCTCGGCTGCTCCTTTGATATTGGTCGATGGACACCGGTATGATCAGCATCAACAAGATAGAACGGAAAACGAGGATCGTCCGGTGCAGGATTGGCAGACTCTGGCTCCACGATGCGGAAAACGCCATTCAAGCGTCGTGTTTCGCCAAAGGAGAGAACACGGACGTACCCAATGTCACTGCATCGTTCAATCACATGGAAAAATTGTTCATTTAAACTCTGCAACTGTTCTCGGTTGTGGTCGCCTAGAGTGGTGACTAGTTCAGAAGGAGAAGGACCACCTGTGGTCTGATAATACCGTTTCAGTCCCGTCACGGCACTTGCAATGGGGGAGCCAAAATGCGGTGTGGCGTAAAACACAATGCCCCTTATAGAACGCAGAAATAATTCTTCTGATAACCCAGAACCATGATAACCTTTTCCCTCCTCATCCACTTTGGTTCTCTTTTCAGCGTGGTGCAAATTCACCACCTTGGCCGCTAGTATAATCATTTGTTTAATCACCAAACCACCAAAAGAGTAAGCGATAAAGACGAGTGGTCTTCTACCGACACCCACCGCATCGGAGAGAAGTCGCTCCGCAAGATCCGCGGCACACTGCTCCAACGTCTGTATTTCGTCCTCACTTGATGAGGCCGCAGTTGAAGGCACTATTTCGTCAAATAAGGAACCTTGAGGGTCTTCACTATCCTTCCTATGGTTAGTGCCGCCTGTTTCGGGTGCAGAGGAAGGATATTTCCCTTGTATCGCCTCTGCTACCCATCGCCGAATGGAACTGGCGGCCCATCCGTCTTCTTGCTGCCCCATTTCCTCCACCTCTTTTTCCTTCATTTTTTCAAATGATTGCCACCGCCAGAGAGCGTGTGTATAGCCGGCGGAGAGAATGCGACATCTCGGAAACTCCTGTGGGAGAAAAGCCGCTGGCCAAAGAAGGCCCTCTTTGTTCGTCCAACACTTAAACTCACCACTCCCAAGCCCGTGCAGCAGAACGATGTCAAATTCAGCGTCACCGTTGGCTCCATTATAAAGCAGAAATACTCTCTCTGAAAGGGATGGGTACTTTTCATTGGAAGACCGTGACAACAATCCTTGGCGCGGGGGCACGCCGTCGTCACTAACATCCCATTGAATTCCGCTTGCTCTCATTTGCTCTCCCAATGAGAGAGAGGAATATCACCCACTAAGTGCACACCAATTTTATCCCATCTTGCGGCACCACGGGATGTGGGGAGAAAAAAAAGAACAAAAAGATGCAACAAATTCTCGAGTAACCCAGCAACAAAAAAAAACCTTCCGCGTGAATAATTACTTAAAAAGGCAATGATTTAAATTATTATCATAAAAATTAAAAAAAAAAAATAACCATTAAATGGTCCACCACGCCTTCCCAAAAAAAAAAAAAAAAAGTAATAATATTGTGTGGAGTGACTAATTTGTGGATCGATTGGAAGTTACCATCACTGCTACAATGGGGGAAATAAAGACTCTACCCAGGAGGGGAAAAAACAACACTCACAGACTCCAAATAGCGTACGATGCCAGTTGCCCGTTGCGACCACTTCGTCTTCGCATCTCTATAGAACGTGCCCGGGAAATCACGCTCAAGTATTGTGCCCTGTGCTTCTACAGCTGTAACCAACCGCTGCACGAGATGCAGCAGTCCCACCTTCGACTCGTACTGTGGCGAATGAGTGGAAAGTAAGAATCTGCCATCGTCACGCTCCAAGGTTGATGAAACTTCAGAAATTTCCACACCGCAGGTCACTATTTGCTTCCATGCGTTCACTGTTGACAACATCCATTGTTTAAAATTACCGCCTTTCTCAGCATCTCTTGTGGCCGCAGTGGGCGGTGGTGGAGGTAGCGCGGGCATTCGATAGCGATGTGTACGGTCCTTCTCCTGTATATCTTTCGTGAGTGATTCACACAGCTTAAGAACGCGCTCTCGGATACACCAAAAATCCTCAAACCCTGCTTCTATTGCACCACGTTCTTCTGGTGTGAGCACCCAGTCCTTCGAGGAGGAAGGGGGGGCGCTATTATTACCATTATAATTATCGAAATTGCTACTACTAATATCAGTGGCAACAGATGCTGGTGGACGGTGTAGTTGCTTCAGCATCTTTATCACATCACCCACTTCCAATACACATTTGTTGTACTGCATGCGGTGATAGTGGAGAGCTGTAATGTCGTCCTCAACGATGCATAAGCTCCAATACAAGCGAAGAGTATCTCGGATGTAGCGAAATTCGCAAATTGTGGGAGAAAAGATGATTATTCTGCCAATTGAACGCTCTTTACTTAATGAATCCTTATGTTGCTGAAGTCGCTCTATTTCGAGGCCAATGTCACGAATGGTTTCCCTTAGCGCCCGGTAATATTCCGGGAGAAGTAAGCGCCGCCGCAGACGAGGATCATAAAATGTGTACTCCAGTAAATAAAAAAGGCTCGCTTGGGTCTGAAACAACCGAAATATGCTATTAACGTCATGCAACTCATATCTTGTGACGCGTATTATTCGTGATCGTCGCGGTCGTGTAGAGGATGCATTGCCAACAGAAGAGGGAGATGGCACAGCCAAGCCCTTTGCCTCTTCTTGCAGTGGCTCTTTTGTGGGTGATGCATCACACGCCTGTGCAGGTGATATTGTCCTTAATTTATCTCTCGTATGTATGTGCTCATCATCATTTTTTTTACTTCCATCCTCTTCCACTGTGGTCTCCTTTTCCGGTTGGTCGTGTACGACATACGTCCCAGATGATGGAGCAGCTCCTTCTCCGTCCAAAATTCCCACAAGACTCGATACCCACGAGATGAAAAGATCAAATGTCTGCAAAAAATTCATAAAGATTACATATACACGGCGCCCATCTTTACCACACTCCTCCGATCCTCCGTTGATTGAAATAGTTTTGTTGCTAGAAACTTCCGGCGCCTGCTCTGTTGCCGACACGGTTTGTACACTTATATCCGTTCCAGCTGCGCTCGTCTCACCTTTCACAATCATCCCTTGCCCCCCTTTACCAAAGGTCACCACAGTGAAGGCATAGTTATATTTCTCATTTAGTTTCGTCATGGCAGCCTTACCTTGTTGCAGTCTGAGTTGCAACGCCCGCAGTGACGCTTCATGAGGACGAAATAATCCCTCAGTACGATAAAACAGATCACACATTGTCGAAGTGACATTTGAAGAAGACAAAAGAACTGGTGGTGTGTAACCGCGGCAGTAATGGATGGGCGGAAACGCTACATCTGATCTCGTCTGCGGTCCTGATGCATCAATAAAGAAAGAAGTGGATGAACTTAAGATGAACTCGTTGATAACTACAACATCCGCAATAAGAGAGGCACAAGTGGTCCCAAGAAGTTTAATGTCTTCACTAGAACATCTTACAAAACGTGTCGCAAATTGAACAAGTTTTTCTTGGTCCTCTAGAGTGGGATAAATGATCGCCATTTATTTCTTCCAGGTCTCTACTTGCTGACTTTAAAAAAGGAAAAAAAGAAAAAGGTTTATCAAGACGCGCCATTATCCATTTAGTCCCTCATCTGACCACATATTCCCTCTAAGACTTTATCGAAAAACTCCGGGCACATATACATACAGAAAAAATACTCCACACAGAGATTTAAAAAGAAAAATAAAATAAAACCGCCAATACCTTGTACCTCACAAATTGAAAGACAACCACACGCATGTAGTTATGCATCATTCCTGTGGGGGTGTGAAGAAGAATCCTCAGTACCCCGCCTCCAGTCCGAATCGTGCTTATTCACTTTCCTTCTTTCCCCCATATCTTGAACTGGTCAAAAAAAAAACACAAAAAATGGGATTTACTTCAAATCAAACGTTCATAGTTTTGGCATGGTGCGCCTCCCATTCATTCAATGTCTTGAACGGCCTCGCTACAATGTACAACGACGTCCCAAAGTGCCTTTCCTCCATCTTAACAACGGTGAGGCCTGCAAGACGTAAATACCGTCTAATATCACGATTCCACCAGCATCCCCATTTTTTCGCGTGTCGGGGTGCCCATTTATCAAGGTGATCGTTAATGCGTGACCACCGTCCTTTGCCATGTTCAAGAAGAAGAAGATTCCCACCTGGTTTACATACCCGCGACATCTCACGAAGGGCGCGCACTGGATCGTCAAAGCTGCAGAGACCAAACATATCTACAACAGCGTCAAAGCTGTTGTCTGAAAAAGGCAGTTGTTCTGCCGCGTAATTTGCCACTGCAAAAATTGGTTCATTCTTTTCTTTTACTTCCGTTAGATGTCCCTTGGTCCCTTTTTCGGACTCCCGCCGCCTTAGTTCCGCCTGGCCGTCCCGATTCAAAAGGGGCAGCATATTACCAGGAAGAGAACCCTGTAGAATTGGCGCCACTGAACCATCAGCTAAAGTATATCCACTATCGTTTAGTGGTGTGGTCAATACCTCCTTCACAGTACCATCACCGTGAAGAATCTTACGCTTGATAACACCCTCTCCTGGAATTGACCGCTGTTCATCATCTTTCTGTGCCAAAGAAGATCCACAGTCGCTTCTTTTTATCATCGCATAATTCTTTTTCACTGCATCAAGAATGCCAACAACATCGTAGTCAGGATACCGATAGGGACAATAGCCGTATCGTTGCTGGATTCGTCTGGCAGTCGACTCTACCATGCCTGGAGATCGATCGCTCATCACTATCTCCAGCAACGGTGTGTGACTAAACTCCACTGATTTTCTCTCCTCATTGACATCCTTCGACGGTGCGGTTGACGGCGAATGTAGTAGTGATTCGTAGTAATTCAAATTACCTCCACAACCTGCTCCAACCTCTAGGACACGACCATGTACTAAACCCTCATCCCGCAAAATCCGACGACGCCAGCGGCTAATACCAAGATAAAACTCCTGTCCACGCGTCTTTTTTTCGTAAGCATTTTCGTGCGATAGAGCGTCGTAGCGTTCAAGACGTTGCCGGTTGCCCACTGTGTAGGAAGGAGGAGGGCTGAGAGCGATACCAACAACATACGCTGTTCCTGAAAAAATTGTGGCACACGACGTAAAAAACACAATTCGGCCAAACATCAATTTATCCTTGTCGTTGCCCTCCTTTGGACGTACGTTTATCTTTCCTTTAATGCTCTCTCCCTCTTCCCTTAAATGTTTCTCCAAAAAAATATATCCACTTATGGAAAAATCATGGATAAAGAAAAAAAAAAAAAAAAGGCAACAATAAAACAAAACTACGACACACTATAGAATTCACGGCTCAAGCATCTCACATGAAACTGATACCAATATATACATATAAGGTCTCCTGCTAAATAAAGCAGTTGCCCCATCCACAGATTGGCAGAACGACCCTTTATTTTGGTTTCAATACCCAGTAAATGTAAATAAAATGGGAAAAAGTGAACACCTTTATACTCTCACCTTCATAATTAAAAAATAACAAGCATCCCCACTAAGCTGACAACCCTACTTTTCCCAAACCCCCATCGATGATACGGCCCTCAGGTTCAATGGGGTTCGGAAGCGCATGTGTTGGAACAGTAACCTCCTCCACTGCAGTTTCCGCACCAGGAATCTCAGTTGAGACTTGAGGGAGTAGTTCGGCAAGAAGGGCATCGTCATCACCAACATATCCATCAAGCGGCTGTGCCAAAATATCATTGATGCGCCGGGCCTCTTCTACTGTTTCTTCAACATCATCCATTAGCTGGGCAACGTCATCCACGTTCAACATTGAGTTCAGCTTTGAAAGCTCGTCCTTGCCCCCTTTTAGTGCATTAAATACCTCTACCTCAATCTGGTTAAATTCAACTGTATCAAGCAGCCTCTGCACATTATCCAGCATGTCATTAACGCTGTTGACCTGTGAACGCTGAATCCTTTCCCGTTTGAGACAATACAATGCCTTACGACGATTGCCAGAACGCAAAAAATCACTAGCCTTGCTACGCTCCTCTTGAGCAACAACTTCATACCTTTTGATCGCAGCCATAAGCCTGTCACGTTGCAACTTTAATTCCAACTGAGCTCGATCTGAAGAAGTGATGACAACTTTAGGCGTCTCAACTGATGACTTACGTTGGCCTTGAGTTTTACTTGGCCGGATGCCCATTTTTTATCCACAACAGCTTTTAAACAAAAAATGTCACCATCAACACCTACCCACACAAAAAAATAATAATTTTAAAAAAGCGTACAGATAACATCTACATGCATAATCAGTAGGAAAAAAAGTGGCAGAAGTATCGATGATAGTATAATACTTGTGTTACTCAAAAAAAAAAAGCTTGTATAGAAAAAAAGCGTTTTAAGTCAAAAAAAAAGTATAAAGAATTCCTGCGCGTACACATATATGACGGAGCGAAAAAGAATGGTGAATAAACGAGTTAAGAAAACTATAGAGCTAGCAGGCATAGTAACAAAATTACTCAATAAGAATAATTGAGTGAGTAAAACAATAAACAAAAACAATGCAACTGATGTTATTTAGTATAGAATTCTCATTACGCAAATGATTTCTTTTGGCCTTAAAGAAATAGTAATGAAGGATTAGATTCGGTCACAGAAAAACACCTAATTTGCAAAATAATAAATAAAAAGCACATTTGTGATCCAATAATCGCAATATAAAAAAATAATAATAATTGAACGTTCTTAAAGTAATGAATAGAAAAAAGAAGAAAAAGGAACAGAAATAAGTAAATATATAAAAAAAATAGATCATCCAAATACCGTCGTGGGATATCCACACCCTGGAAATAACAAACTCGCGGTGTTTTGTACGCGGGTTTCCACCAGACCCTTCCAAGTGGATGCAACTAAAGTGTCTTTGGGATGGTAAACAAACTGAAAAATAACTCCATTCAATTCATTAATCAAAAATGATAAAAGTAACCAACCCGAAAAAAAAAAAAAAGATAGCGGATAATCGAAGGAAGTCATGATCAAATTTTTGGTAACTCTAACGGCCCATTCTCATTAAAATCTTTCAGAAGGGAAAAATCAGCAATATTCACCTAAAAAGATGCCCCATCTCATCCATTTAGCAGAAAATACAACATTTCCCTTGAGAAACCATGATAATGTAACTCCTCAATCAAGCCCCTTTTACTTTCCAAACATATATAAAAAAAAATATATGAATACGTAAAGGATATGTCGCGTGCGTAAATGAACCAAAACCGAAGGTTCAAACCACATATACCTTGCAATTGCTCTAACATTTAATATATCAGCAACGCATGTGTGACACGAATTTATTCCAAAGAATCCCGACTAAATTTAAAAAAAAAACACGCTAAATGTCCCAAAAAATATATTATCCGTATCTTTAACTCTCTTTATACGAAAATTAAGGGAAAACAGTCGCGTGCATAGGACACAAATCAGCGGTATATAAAGAACAACCACTCGTCTTCCCCCATTTTATTCCATTATAAATGGCATATCCTGCAAAAAAGCCAATAAATACAATTCGCGTACAAAAAGTTGTACGTCCACTTCTGGAACCGACAGTCATCGCCAGCCATATATATTTATTACTTAAGAAGTGGCAGACTTTGGGGTCCTGCAGCCACAAGAACCCGCCGCCCCCCTTCGCCAAGCCCCGGAGTGTAAAAACACAACCGCGGGATATGCCGCGTGCGGGGTTTTCTGCAGACCTCAGGCAGGCAAAGGACGCCTGTACTCTGCGAGGATCAAAAAGTTCGCACATCCGTCGCGGCTCCCGCGCCATGGCGTGTGATTTGGGGCTGTTTTTATTCGCCGCTCCTTGCCGCGAAGCGTTGCCCGCCCAAACGCCGGCGGTGGACGGCGGGATGGCGGAGAAAGCCTATAGGGCCCGTCGTGCCACGCGCGCCCCGGCCCGCATGATGAGGAAAGGCTTCGTCCTCCATTCCCCTCCGGCAATTTTAACACCGCCGGCCTCTGGAACAAGAACGGCCCCCTTCCATGGAGCGACACGTCCGTGACGGCCGCCGCTGTCGCCTTTTCCGTGGGCTTGACGCCCCGCCTGTGACTGCATTCCGGATGGTGTGTCGCGACCCCTCGTCAAAGCTAACCGCTGCCGGCGGAACGTTCGCCGGAGACGTCTCCGGCGCGCTCCCCTGCCGCGGCGCGGCGGCGACCCGCGTTCCGAGGAGCCTTGGCCTCCCGCGGCGCTTTTCCGCCCCGCAATTCTCGAATTATCGGCCAAAACGCCGACACGCGCCGTCGGAGGCGCGGCCCGGAGGGAGCGAACCAAAGACGCCGCCACCGCCACCGCCGAGGCGATGATCTGGAGAATTTCTGTGCCGGCCTTGTGCCCCGCTGGGGGCCGCGCCGTCAAAAGGGATGCCGAGCCTCCCGCGAAAAGGGGCCTCAAAAAGGA